ACTAAAGATACTATGTAGATAATGAATAGCAACTTGTGAATTTGCAACAAATCTTTGTATATCACAAACATGTATTGTTGAAACATTACATCCACTTGAAATGGTTGTAAAACATGCTGATGATTGTGTTCTGCATGCAGTTTGTTTTTATCACTTATGAAAAAAGAACTGAATTGAATATAATTTTGTCTGACAAAGGTAGGCAACTGTAAGGTTTTATTTTATATTTAAATTGATACTCATTTTTATCTTAGAAAACTTTTATATGGACGAATGAAAAAATTAAAGTTAAAATAAAAATATTTGTTATTAACCAAAAATTTGATCTAGTGGGTGATGATTGTTCAGTCAAATACCAAGGTACCACTGTATTTGATTAAGGCAATTTTGATATATGCAGTAACATCAGGAAATTTATTAATTGCATTAATCAAGAGATACCTATAGTAGGTAACCTGTATATAGCAGAAACCTGTCTACTATGGAACAGTTGTCAGTCCCTTGGTATTCTGTTGTAGACAGATTTGACTGTAATATAAACAGGATTTTTATATTTTGACTTTGACTGAAAGTAGCTCCTGCTTGATCTTGTAATATTTAATGATAAAATATTATGCCATAACCCTTGAAAGATTTTTGACCTGAAATGTTGGAGCCACTGTATTAAAGAATATAATTGAATAAAAGTAAAAAATTTAAAATATACAGCAAAATTTATTTGTGTCTAACATTTCCAACTATTTTTAATGACCATCTTTAGGTTTTATCACATTTAAATAAGAACAGAATATTAAAAACTGTAAATTACAAATTTGTAATTTACATTTTAATTCTGTTCTTATTATTATTTTTTTCAATTACACTGGTTTCCAAAATTAAGGAAAAATCACAAAAATAGCAAAATTTTGTTCAAAAATAAGCCAATTGCTATGAAATTCAAGTATGTTGTTAAATAAAAGGTGCTGAATAAAACTGCAATATGCAAAATACTAGCACTGCAATCAGAATGCATCTGCATGCGCATAAAAATGCATGTTTAAGAGTAAGACTAGGTTTCAAAGAAATATAGGATAGACAATTCGTCACGATGACTTTCAGACATCATTTGGCAGAAGAACTGCAATGAGGGCCATTGGGAGATTACAGGCAGATCAAAATCAGACAGAGATGGCCAGATGATTAAATGTGAGTCTTTCTGTGGTTCATAGACTTTGGCAACAATTTCAAACCAAAGATTTGGCATCCAGAAGGTTCAGCCAAGAGCTATGTTGAGCCCCGATGACCAATATTTGCAGTTATGCACATGAAAAAGTAGTACCTCAACCCCACTCCAATTTAGGTCTTCTCTTGCTATAGCCACTGGAAGGATGGTGTCAATGTCTACTGTGCACAGGTCTCATGAAGATGGCCTGTACACAAGGAGACCAGCCATTTGTGTGCCACTCACCTCTCATCACAGAAGGGAGCATTTCATATGGGCACATCAACCTGTCCATTGGATTGCAAATCAATGGAGGGCTGTTCTCTTCATGGATGAGAACAAGTTTAGCTTGCAAAGCAATAGCAGATGTTTTTTGATTTGGAGAAAACCTGGAACATGTTATCATCCATCAAACATCTGTGAAAGAGATTCATACAGAGGAGGCAGTGTCTATGTTTGGAATGGTATCTCTTTGGGTGGACGCACAGACCTCCATGTCTTTCCACATGGAACCATGACTGCTCAAGTGTATAGAGATGACATCCTTGATGCCTATGTGTGCCCTTATGCAATGCAATAGACAATAAATTCATCCTACATAATTATAATGCTAAGCCTCACAGGACTAATCTCGAGGAATGTTACCTTCAGCCGCAAACAATTCAGCATATGGAGTGACCAGCTCGATTTCAGGACCTGAGTCCCATCAAGCATGTCTGGGATGCTCTAGGGAGACATATTGCGGTTCTCAATCCTCATCCTCAGACTGTTGCCAGGTTTAGAGCAGCTTTATAAAAACACTTTATAAGCTTTATGGCTCTCACTTCCTACTGACCTCACAGACCACATAATTGATAGCATCACACATCACTATATGTGCTGTATTGCTCTCAGGGTGATTACACTTCATATTGAAAATACTGTGGCCGTACGCCTTATTTTGTATATGTTATTCTTAGTATTCCATTTGTTTCCCTTTTCTCTTTGTTAGTTCCTTTGTCTATAGTCTTCCAGAAACTTCTTCCCTAACCCTTTCCTGTTAAGGTGGTGGTGACCTATTTTCAAGACAAAGGAAAGGCAGTAGCCTGAGGGCTAAAGGTAAAACAAGACCTCACTTTTTGCTTGGACATTGGAGAGATAAGACGTGTTGTAAGAACCTCCAGTTTGTTCTGCTATCGACAGAAGAAGGAAAAAGACAATAAACCGAAGTGAATATTCGAGAGGAGCTAGAAGCATATCTTGATATAAGAATATTCGAGAGCTTATTTTGAGAGTCTGATAGAGTTAGCCGATCAACTATTTCTCCAAGATTATATAATTCCGATATCACCACCATCAATCCAAGACTGTCGGCACTTTGGTTACCCATTCTTTTCTATCAAATATCCATCTATCCTATTGCCTATCTTTTCTTCATCCCTTTTAGTATAAGTAGCTTTAAGCATTTAGTTATAGTTCCCTTTTGTTTGTACCGCGGTGAATACTTTTGTCGCAAGATTTTAATTAACTGCTGAAATTGTCTATAAAAGACCAAATGAGGAGTGTCGGAATATAAACGAATCCTGAAAAGGAAAATAAACACTGGTGAAGAAACAAAACATCTATTTGTATTGTTTACGTATCCTCTAGTTGAAAATACACTCACCACGTGCGTATCTTACAATACTTTTCCTATACCAAACTGACACATCAAATTTGTCAATTTCATACATGTGCTAATTACTTTAACATCATAATTGTCCTGTAATTTGTTTTCATGTTACAGCTTACTATGTGTTGTATACTTTTTCTCAGGTTCATTAAAATCAGCATGTAACTTTTTGAGTTATTGCAATTTTTACTGGAACCCAGTGTATATCTTATTTTATATTATTATTTTTTGTCTTTATACTTTGATGTCTTTAGTTTACAGCAAATACAATAATACAATAACTGTTAGAATAAACTTTAAGTTTCAAATAGAATTTAAAATGTATTCTAGAAATAAAGACATTCACATAATAAAGATGAGAGAATTTTTATTTTTGTAATTTTTGAATTATCTAATTTATGTTTGTATGCTGACATTATGATTATTAGATGAGAATAACACAAAGTAGTTAAGAAATAGAAATGCATGATATAAAAATGTATGAGAAGTTAGATAAATGTTACATTAAAGACAATGCAACAGAAACTATATTAATTAAGAAGGAAACATGAGAAAATATATATAATTATCTACAAACAAAATAAATTTAATAATAATCTGAATTGTATATACATACATACAGGATGTCCACTTAAACATCTTTTCCAGCTTTGCACAAGAGTATGCATGTGGTGCATTCTTGTTCCAGTGATAACATAACTGACTTAAATACCCAGGGTCTGACTTCTACCCAGGCTCAAAAGATTAATTCATTAAAAAATGCCATGATAATATATTAATGCATTCAGTATAATAAAATAAATCATTCAATAAAAGGGGCATGTGGCAATGCAACTTCAAAGGTTTGGTACCAACATGATGGTATGCCAGCTCATTCCCAGATAGATATACACATTAGTGGTTCACAGAGTGGTTTGGCAATTTTGTGTAGATCAAAATAGTCCTGTTCTGTGACTATGATGTTCCCCAAACTTGGATTTTTTCTTCCAGCAGCTTGCAGAGTAGTTTGGCAACCTTTTTTCTTTGAAGACTCATTTAATAAGTTTGTAGAAATTTCACCAGTATAACAGAAATGAAAACTTTGAATTTTCAAATGGACTCACTATTTATAAAAATGCAAAAGAATTCTATCAATAGCTAAATATCTATGTAAATTTAATTGCACTCAAATCACATGATTATATCTTGTTTTGTTGGGTATTTGAATTAAGTAATAAGATTAGGCCTCTATAAAAATGCTAAAATGTAAGCAGACTAACTTTGCAGATTTTTATAAAAAAACAATAACTATCTGGATTCTAATGCCATTTGTTGATAAAAATGCAAGTCAAATTATTGAGAAGGCTTATAAAATACAAAAGAAAATAATTTAACAAGATCTTGTTGCTTATAGGTTACATTTATCATTTACTAATAAAGCTAGATACAATGTTGTTTTTTCAAGTAAATAACTTTATATCCAACTTTATTAATAAATTAAAAAGTGATTTTACAGTCAGCTTTTAAACAATAAATTATATATTTTTTGGATATGAAATCTAAAATAAATTATAATCAAAGAAAAACGAATCAGATATAACTAAAACAGTCCAATATACAGTGTATTAAAAATATCAATTGTGAATTACCAGAATAACAAATTCAGTGATTCAGAACATGCTGCATATGGATTCACTCTATATTAAAATTAACATGAAAGCTCCTAATAAAGTCCTTTATTAAAAGTTTTCAGTAAGAATCAAATTCAAATGAACATTAAGAAAGTCCTGAATTTGAATATTAATGATTAAACTATTGTTTAACATAACAGTTCTGTACTTGTATAATAACAAAATTTTATGCAAACTCAATAGAAATATTTGAATTTTTTAATTTTAAATATTTTTATATAATTTATACTTACATTTTCAATAATTAGATAATAATTATTTAAAATATTTAAAGTTTTGGGTTTATAAATTAAAAAATTCTTACTCTTACATAAGATAAAAGTAATCCAAGATTCTCTAAATAATTGTTGTTATAACTTAATTTCTTGATATCATCAAAAATAATTATTTTTCTCTAAAATAGTCTTAAAAAATTTATATTATTGAATACATTAAAAAATCAATAAAAATTAAATTATAAATAAATATAAGATCATACCTAATACTTAATTCTGTATATCTCTGATTAATGCGTCCTAACTTCTGATAAGTGAATCTTTTGAAAACATCATGAGGACAATCAGCAGCAATTTTATGAGCCATTCGAGCAACACTATCAATGGCTGCCTTCCATTGACCAATTTCAACTTGCAATAGCTAAAAATCATGAATATAAAACTATTGTTAAAATAAATAAATACAGTCAATGAATATATCATAACTAGCAGACTATACTGCTGATTAGAAAAACTTTTTTTTAGAAATTTATGAAGAAACTTAAAACATATAATTTAATGCTATATAATATTTAATGATTACTTAAGGAAAATTATAGCTGTAATGTCAGAACACAAACTGAATAATCAATAAATGAACTGGATAACTTGAACAATTTGTTAATTATAAGCTCAATGAAAGTAAATTACAAATACATTTATATTTAACTTAACTTTTAGCAAAAACCTTTTTAGTCCAGAAAAATTAAACTAAATTATTCATCTAATAAAAATTTATACTAAAAACAAACATATCATTTTTAATTTACATTTATATAATTTATACTTACATTTTCAATAATTAGATAATAATTATTTAAAATATTTAAAGTTTTGGGTTTATAAATTAAAAAATTCTTACTCTTTGTTCTTTAAGTTGTGCTTCTAAAACATCCAAAGTTTGTCCTACAGGAGGTAATCTTTCCAATCTAATTTCTGCACGTCCTAACCAGGATTCAACTTCTCTTCTTCGTTCATCAAAGCTTCTTCGATCAGAGAGCATGCCTTCTAATTGTCGTTTACGTTGCATTGCCTGTTCCTTCACGTCTTCCCAATCTTGGTACAGCTGAGTGACTAATATCAAAAATTATATTTGTAATAATATTATATTAAATTATTATAAAAAATAAATTCATTATATGACAAATCTGATTTATCATATAATTAATTTATATTTACATTTTTATGTTTAAAATATAAAAATTATCTATGAAACTATCATACTATGCTAAACTTTTTTCAATAACCACAGAGAGGACTTTTGTTTATATAATAATTCCCATTTAATAATGTAAACAAAAGACCAAAGTTCTAAGTCTATCCATGGCGATTATGCTGAATATACACTAAATGTACATTATTAATGTTTTTATCATATACAAAAATTTACAAGTGATTTTCAATAGTAAGAAATAATGATTCCAAATTTAATTTTAAAACAATGTCAAACCATTTTTAAGGAATTCAGACAATTTTTTACATTGAAAGTTTTTTGGTATGTGCTATTCCAAAAACACTGATGATTGGTTTTGGTGTAAAATTATTTATACCAAAAATTTTAGACTTCTTGATGAATGTTTAATGTTCTAAAAAGATTACTCATCATATACGTCAATATTTTTTCAGCATTAGAAATATTGAATACATTAGTGTGACATTAGTTATTTTCAAAAAACTTTTATATATTTATTTTTATAATGATAAATATAATTATAAATATTGATATGCTAACTACTTTTATAAAGTATAAAAAAATTATAGATTCCTAAAAGTAAATATGAAAAATATTTAAATGAAAATATTTTGGAAGGGATAGAAAAGAAAAATAAGAACATGTATATTTTTTCTTTTAAAAACTAGATTACCATATTTTTTTGTGTATAACCTGTGGCAGCATGTATCCTGCAGAAAGTTTGCTAGAACAACAAAAACCCTCACATAATCTACCTCATTGTATATCCTTGAATGAATATTATGGAAGTAGTTGTTCTACAGATGCAAATTTGTAACTGCAACAGCATATAACCCTAACTCTTTCAAATCCTCATTGAAACCCACATGTTACAGGCATAAAAATACAGCATATTACAGAGTGATCCAATTTAATTAATCCACTGAAATAACTACAAAAACTTATTAAACTGAAAATGTTAGACTTCAAAGGAGTCACAAGATGGAACTATTAGTTCCATCATAGATGGCACTACAATTTGTGAAAAATGGGTCAACTTCATTTTCTTAAACGGAAACCCACTTTTTTACAATATATTATCAAAAACAAAAACTTTTATCTAAAATTTTTTTCAAAAGATGGCCTTATCAGAAGTTATGAGTATTTGAAGTTTTACACAGATGCTACTTAGTGCTTGCATGGCTATCTACGAAGTGCATTGAAAAAAAAAAAAACAAAATGCTTAAAAATTCATTAGGAAAATGCTATTATTTGGTGGAATCAAAATCAATGTCTTCTTTTTACCAAAAGTGTGATGGCTTAATATGCTGTGGCACTAATTTTTGTATCAATTCATTATTTTAAGAAAATAATAATTCCACCAAATAACAGTTTCTATTAATTGTTTTAGCATTTTCTTCATTTTTTCAATGAACTTCATAGATAGCCATGGATTCATGCAAGAACCAGGTAAGCAGCTGAGTAAAACTCCAAATGCTCCTAACTTCTGATAAGTGAATCTTTTGAAAACATGTCTTAGATAATGTGCAATAAAAAATGGGGTTTCAATTTAAAAAGAAGTTGACCTGTTTTTCACCAATTGTAGCACTATCTATGATAAAACTGATAGACTTCAAAGGAATCACAAGACGGGCTAACATTTTCAGTTTAATGAACTTTTTGTAAAATGTGTATTTTTCAAGTTACTTCAGAGGCTTGATTAAAATGGACAATCCTCATAAACACCTCAAATATTTAATGCATTAAGCAAAAACATGCTAATCACATGAATATTTCTAAAAGCCATCATTATTACTTTAAAAATATATTCTCTTTCATATTTTAATTTATTTTTTCCAAAAATGTTTATTAATCTAGGATAATAATTATATGTAATTTTTTAAGTACAATTATTATACAATTATTAATTTGTAAAAAATTAAAGTAAGTTCATAATTAAATTATCATATTCAATTACCAAAATAAAAGTAATAGTAAAATAGAATTATTTGGTACAGACAAATTACCTGTTTATTCATCACATTTTATGTAATGATTTCTTTTATATAAATGCATTTTGAATAATCAATAAATTAATTGTATAAATTGAATAAGTTTTGTAAATAATAAGTTTATTTAAAAGTAACAAACAGTAAATTAGCCACAATACATATATCCTTTGTAAAAAAGATAAGGAATTTAAAATACAAAAAACTTCTTAACAAATAAAAATATAAAAACTGAAGTTTTATCACAGAAGTAAAATTTTCATGTGAAAAATATTTTTCAGTTCTATTCTGAGAACAACTAAATTTTAACTCAAGTAAATGTTTTTCATAAATAAATAAAGTATATATAATTTAAAATACATGCACTCCTTACAGAGATTTTAAATTAATCTTTCTGAACCTAAAAAAACACCTATTGCACTAAATCTAAAAATTTTTTATAACATAACAGTTTACAATTATTTTTATGATACTCTAATGATTCAAAAAAATTTTAAGAATATAATGTTAGAATCTAGTTATTCTAGAATCTGATCCATATTTTAAGATATACAGTAGAACCTTATCTAAGGTAACAAGGACCAACGCTACCTCAAAGAACTGAAAACTCAGATAAAATGGATGGCCAAAATTATAATTAGAAAAAATTTATACTGCATCACTTTTAAGCTTCTTTTTCTATATTCAATTTAATCATATATAAGGACAACATTTTTTACATCATTTATTATACAGCAAACATGTACAATAATTTTTAAAATAAAAATGCATACTATTGTAGTTGCATTTTAATGTGAATGACTTGTCTCATACTGAAGTTAAGTAAAAGGTAACAGAAATAAATCATTTTGAAATATACATTAACAATATTTTAAACTTTCTTAAATACTGTCANCATCTCTGCGCCGTCGGAGATATACTGAAGCAAGTAGAATGGCGGGATAAAGTGGCTTGTCTGTCTGCTCCCCGTGTAATGGGAATTGGCTCAATATCAGAGACCCATTCGGATTAGCTTATAAAAACAAACAAACAAACAAAAATAGTCCAAGGATAAATAACGACTTTGAATCTATACCAGACTAACTTTAGGCGAACGAATTAGAATCAGTACTGTACATGATAGTAATATAATTAAAATTTAAAATTTCCTATTGAATTTTATAACTATTCAAATATGGGAAATGATCTATTAATCAGATATAAATTAAAAAGCTACATAACAATACGTATATTATTTTACATATATGAACAAAATTAGAGAAACATATATTTATTTTTTACATAAAATATTTGACAAATCATAACAGTGAAAATTGATTAATTGATAAGAATGATTTCAGAGATGATACATTTTTCTTAATAAACTGATAAAAATAGAACTAATTTCTTGTGTTATTAATCATTTTGTATATTCAAAAAATAAACAAAAACAAACAAACTCATCTTTATATAGTTTGGTAAAAGTATTATCAAAATTATTTAAACTATTTCAATAATAAAATTGAACGAACGAATTAAACGATTATTTTATAGTTCAAATAGAATTATAAAAAGTTTTTTTGTAAACAAATTTATAAACTTTTATTTCAAAAAAGACATTTAACTAAATTTATTTTACAAAGAATGGCTGACTTCCAAAACTATATTTTTACTGACGATGGTCTGAAAATCATTCAAGGACTAATAGTAACTTATATAAAGTTCAAAAACGTCATGGGAAAGTTCTCTATATACTTTCGAAAACGTGAAAAGAATATCATTTGGAAAAGTCTAAAGATTAAGTCAATAAGTTCTTTTTTACATTTTCTCCACGTTTAAGATTTTTTTATGATTATTGTATTTTGAACAAATTGCTCAAATACTATGCGCCATTTCTCCCCCAAATAGTATACGATCATATAATATTCGCGATATAATGCGATCATAAGTATATTTCATATGTATATTTTTATTTTATTCATTAAGTAATGCATATTATTATTTATTTGTAACATTCTACAAATGAAAGATTTGTGAAATTTTCTGTAAAATTTTTATTTCCAAACGAGTTGTCAGCAAGAATTACATTTAATCACTTGTAAAATTATTGGCATTTCTCAATTAGTAATTATGTAAATTCGCGATATTATCTTCGTTGAAGTTTCTTATTAAATCTCAGTTTTCGATATTAAATGATTCTTTTCCCCGGTTCCCGCAATTTTACATTGCTGTCATAACAAACTTTATTAGTTTATAATCGTTGTTTCAATTTAAATTCACAGAATAGTTTCGTGTATTTTAAATTTAAAGAAACGCGCTGTCAGTAATCTTTATTTATTCTTCTAAAGAACATAGAACTAGCGCATGCCTGAAACAACTTATTTAATTTTTTTCCAACGATGATATTCATTTCGATGAATGTATATAATCATTAAAAAAATGTAAATAAAGTTGTCTGAGGTCATGCGCTGGTTCTTTCTTTAGGAGAATAAATATAGTTTTGTAGAATTACGATTAATTACTATTACATTGTTCGTCACTTTTCATTACCATCAGAACCAAATCGCAATTCTCACATTATTATTTTTTCCCTAATCCTTCTTGAAAATCTTTCCGTTATTATTTAAAAAAAATTAATAATTATCTTTCCACGAAATTCTTGATGAAGATTAGAAAACAAAATCGTTTGCTAATAATAACTGACACTACAATTAGGACACATTACGATGTAATATGCAAATTTTAATATCGTAAAATATTTTACTGTACTAAGAAAAGTACAAAGAGTATTCTGAAAAGAAAGAAAATGTTCTGACAAATGAACAATTTGCTTAAACCAGTAAAATGAGTTTTGTTACATTAAGTATAATTATTTTAATACGTTCCATCTATCTTTGAAATACCGATTCAAGCAC